AAGGGGAGGAGTCGCCTTGTTCTTGATAAGAACCATGGACCCCTCGCTAAGCGTACCCGTGGAGTGGCACCATTTTGTTTTTTCCTGAAGCCATAAAACGTATTCATGAGAAAAGCGATTCCAAAAATGATGCTTTAGGTAGTCGATACGACGGAAACGCTGGAGACTGGAGACATTGACATTGGCAATCTTCGGATGAGGCATCATAACTAGAGACCGTCCAATAAGGAAATGTGCAGGAGTGCGTGGAGTGAGGTCTTTAGGGTCATTTGGAATAGGAACTATGGGTCTTGAATTTAATATTGCTTCTATTTGGATTAGACATGTTGCCATTTCCTCAAAAGTCAAATGTGTTAGGCCTAAAATTCGACGCAGATGATGTTTCACGGATTTGACAGCAGACTCCCATAGTCCTCTGAAATGAGGTGTATAGGCTGGTATGAAAGAAAAATTAACATCTGTATCGATGTCGTTTAATTTTAGGTCTTGTGACAGCAGTTAAGACAACTCATTAAATACCCCAACAAACGTAGTGCCATTGTCTGAAAGCATGTTGCGTGGGTTCCCCCTACGAGCAATAAAACGGCTAAAAGCAGCTAAGAAGGCATCTTTTGTCATGTCTGACACTAGTTCTAAATGGACGGCTCTTGTGGCCAAACACACAAATACGCAGATAAAACATTTGATGAGTTTAGCACCTCTCCCCTTTCTATCGGCGATCATATTGGTCCGGCGTAGTCTACTCCGGAATCAAGAAAGGGGAATTCTAGGTGAACGCGTTGCTCTGGTAAGTTTCCCATGACTGGCTGTATCGTGTTTGCCTTTATCCTACAACATTTTAAGCATTGTCGTGTAATTTTTCGAGCTAAGTTTCTGCCACCAATAGGCCAGTAATGATGCCGAATAGTAGCAAGCTGTAACTGTGGGCCAGCATGAAATAATTTAATGTGAAACATTTTAAAGAGTAAAACTGTTATATGATGAGAACTTGACAAGAATGGGATGTTTGACGTTGTAATCATAAAATGAGTTATTTAGTCTCCCCCCAACACGTATAATGTTATTTGAATCTAAGAACGGTGACAATGAGTTAAGTTTGTTTTTATGTGGTAACTGCTTACCCATTTTTAATAAATTATATTCATTGTAGAGGGATTGTTCTTGGGCAATTCTAATTAAATAATTAGTAGAGTTAGTGAGTTCTTGAGAACTTAAGGGTCCTAATGATTTAAGAGACCCGTGTTTTGAGTTATTTATGAATCGCAATATATAAGCCATAATACGTTGTAATTTGAGAAATTTGGAATTTATTAATATTATTATATTATTTATAAATTAATTTATCTAATTCATTGTTATTTTGTTTAATTGGCATTAGATGATAACTGGATTGAGCGTTTGTATCAGCTTGGTGTAATGAATTATTTATGATTTCTGGTAATTGAGTATTGGATTTGGGTATAGAAATCCACTGTGAAATATCTGCTGATGCAAGAAATTGAGGACCAGATCACCACAAAGAAAAACTTGATAATTTATCTGCAGAAAGTCCATGCGAAGCGAGGTCTGCAGGATTTTCATTTGATGGAATATAGCGCTCCGAAAGAAGAGGAAAGAGGTAGCGAGATAAGTATAGATGAAATACTGAAAGCAATGAAAAGCATGAAAGCAGGTAAGGCTGCAGGATATGATAGAGTTTCACTCGAAATGCTAAGGGCTGGAGAGGAAGTCATGGCAGGCCTGCTGCACACCTTGTTTAATTTATGCTGGGAACTGAATCGGGTACCGTTAGACTGGTGCAAAGCCGTGATAGTCCCAGTATATAAAGGAAAAGGGTCGCAGCAGGACTGTAAAAACTACCGTGGCATCAGCCTTCTTAGCATTGTGGGAAAACTGTATGCTAAGGTACTGATTGAAAGGGTCATGAAAGAAACTGATGGAAAAATTTGGGATGTGCAAGCGGGATTCAGAAAGGGAATGGGATGTACAGATTAAGTCTTTTCCATGTGCATGATCGCGGAGAAGTTTTTGGCCAAAAACCAAAAGGTTTTTTGTGCGTTCATGGACTTGGAAAAGGCCTATGACAGAATGGATAGGGATGTGCTATGGCAAACATTGAACTCATTTGTGTTAAGCGCTGGCTTGATACAGGCATTGGAGTCTCTTTATAGGGACTCTAGTGCTTGTGTTAGGATCAACGGGGTCTACTCGGACTGGTATGACATCCATAAAGGTATCAGACAGGGCTGTGTGGCTTCCCCGTGGCTGTTCAACCTATTTATGGACAGTTGTTTGCAAAATTTGAAAGTTGAAGAATGCGGATTAAGAAGTCGGCCGAGTTGCAAATGATGGTTACATTAATAAACAGATCATTAAAAGAAGGGGGAATGAAAGTGAACGCAAGTAAGACGAAGGTTATGGTTTTTGAAAGAGAAGAAAGTAAAACGATTTGTGAAATAAGAATAGAAGGGGAGTTGATCGAGCAAGTAGATGAGTTTGTATATTTGGCTGCGGATAAGGGAGGGGAAGGATAAAAAAAAGGAAAGGGGGAAAAAAAGTAAAAGGGGCCCAAAAAAAAAAAAAAAAAACAAAAAGCCTTGGGGGAAGGGGTGGGGGGAAAATGCGGTCCTTAAGGAGTATGTTAGGGCTGAATCTGAACGACAGGGTAAGAAATTGTGTAATAAGAAAAGAGTGTGGTTTGCAAGATGATGTTGCGACCAGGATTAAGAAAGGAATGCTTCGGTGGTTTGGTCATTTGGAAAGAATGAATGAGGAAAGAGTGACAAAGAAAATTTATGTTGCAGAAGTGAATGGCAGAGTCGGAAAGGGACGTCCTAGGCGAAAATGTATGGACCAAATTGGCGATTTATTAAAAACGGGCCAAATTAGGAGTACCCTTAACCGACGAGCATGTATGCGTAGGTGTATGGATGTGAAGGAGGCGAGAGAGGTGTGTCAGGATCGTGCCAAATGGAAGTCTGTAGTCTCTGCCTATCCCTCTGGGTGACAGGCGTGAGTGTTTATGTGTATGGAATATAGCGCCAATTATTGCATCCGACTGTCTCTTGAATTTCGCTTACGCAATGATGTACAAAAGGTTTTAACTGCATTGACGACGAAGTTAGCCAACCAAGAACGATAGTAGAGTCACACCAAAAGGGACACGTGGTAAATTTTAGTGCGATTGTCGTACCTTAGAGCATAGCCGTGCGTCCAGGAGCGCGGCGCACAATTCGAGACGTGGCTTAGTGGTAGGCTTTATGGGAGCCACCTTACTCCTTACGGGATGTAAGTAATTGTACCTTAACCGAGTCTTTACTTATCAGGCTTCGTACATAAACGCGGGCACCATTGAAGAAAGTTACTACAACGGATGTTCGTAAAGATATCAAACATAGAAAATAGTGCGTACTAAGCAACAGCACTCGAAGAGGCATACTACAGGCTATTGAAGACAATTTTGCAAGTGACTTTATATACTGTAATTACTATTCACCAAATTGTAATATAAAACAACTTTTAGCTGGTATAAAATCAAAATTAAGATATTTTAATATGAACGATTATTGTATAATTTTATTAGGGGAGACAGACTTTAAACGCAACGATAATTATATTAATTTAGTAAAAGAAATTAACGATAGTTTAACACAGGTGACCCATACAAATATAATAATATGCACACCCACGTATATACGGGGAGCACCCATACATAACTTTAAGGTTGAAATGTTTAATAGTCTGCTCTGTATGGACCTACAGTACCATAAATATGCATACTTTTTTGACTCCAACTATGACCTTACACTTGACATGTTTTCATACAAATTAGGCAACATAGGAATTCAATGCATATTTAAAAATATAATGAAAAGAATTAAAATTGACTTAGAATTATTCCCTGACCTACCCAGTGACACAAGCGGACAAAGCTCACAGTTTTTTCTTTTATAATAATATTCGAATTTTACACCAAAATATAGCAGGTCTTATAAATAAATCTGATACTCTGACAGTACATTTAGAAGAATTGGCACAAAGTAACAAAGTTATAAACGTAATATGTTTAACCGAACATTTTATGACACCAGACCAAGAGAGCATACTTGATACCCAACTTCCGCCTAGCAACAAGTTTCTCAAGAGACATAAAGAGAGGAGGTGTCTGTATATTAACTAGAATTGGTCATCAATATAAAGTATTAAAAACTAATTGTACAATTAGAGGCGTAATAGAATGTAGCGCTATAGAACTAAGTGATCATGGACTGATTTCTCGAAAGGAGCATAAAAATAAATCAAAAAATAACGACCTAACACACTCAAATCCTAAAATTTATACTGACGTAAATTCAGTTTTTCTTGTACCTACAACGCCTATGGAGGTGGATAGAGAAATAAAACAACTGAAAAATACTCAAAGTGTGGGTTACGATGGTGTTTGCACTAAAGTTATAAAGTATTTGTCCTCGTCAATCGCTGCTCACTTATGCTACATAATAAATTTATGCATTTCTAACGGAATATACCCCGAAAAACTTAACCCTCAGTTAACCTGGTGCCTAAATATACTTTAATTTATCTGGTGGAGTCCGAGGGACTTCAATTCAAGAAATAGTTGATAAATTTAAAGTGAAACGACATTTTATGTACAAAATCATTTATTTAACTAAAAAACATTACCTTCTCTTACTTTTATATAAAACTTTGGTATTAATTATCATTTGAACATTTTAGCATTCGAAAAATAAACTACCCTTGAAATTAAATTAACAAAAATTTGCTTCAACTTCTAACTGCTATAACAATTTGAATATAAGGAATATTAATTTTTTTACTTAGAAAATACTTAAACAATCTAATGAACTTATGAAAATAGACTAAAAAAGAATGCTGTTTCATATAAAAATAAAAAACGTGCAGAGTGCAAATCTTCTTCGTACATGCCAAACATACTGGCTTCATACAGGTATGGCACAAAAGTCTTTCTTTTCAGGCGTTTAGGACATATATGGCACAATTTTTTTTTGGTTTCTAGGCAATTTATCATCTAAAACTTGTAGTTCTTCTACAAGCGGTACCTTTGTGATGTCAGATATCAACTCGCGTAGCTGACGAGGAAGTCTTTCGTTGTATTGCCGTGATTTCAAATTCATGTCATTTAGTTGCTCAGCCAATCCTTTTATGTAATTCAGACGTGTCATTTTGCTGATACCTGCTTGGCTTTTTTGAATAACATATCTGTTCCACGCACTCATGTCCAATATGCGGAAAAAACTGCCATTGGCCAACGTCGCGTACGTCGACTGCATGAATATACAGAGCATTTTTGGGCCAACGAATCTACGTGCCAACGTGTCATTATAATATTCAATAATTTCAGGCTTTAGAGTTTCTGGATTAATTTTAGAACCGTGATGCATCGTAGAGTACAATATTACTGCTTTGTTTTTTTTAGGCACAAAACTGACTAAAGTGCAATCTTTCGTAAATCCAAACAGTGAACTATTAAGCTCTTTGTTCTTCGCAGGTAAAAAATCTTTTGGAATGACAGCTTTGTTTTTTTTTTCAAAGTACCTACTGTAGTCAATCCTTTATTTTTAAGTTCTTGTGAAAGTTCTATTGACGAATACCAATTGTCTGTTGTTATATTTCTGTTGGTGTTAAATATTGGCTTACACAGTCTAAGTACTGCTTGAGTTGGAACAGGCTTTTTCTTATCTTCTTCTGATAATGTATAAGAGTCAGATCCTTTTCCTGTATATATGTAAGTGTTATATACGTAGAATATTGCAGAATCAGCTAGACATTGTACATTCACTCCATATTTGGCTGGCTTACTGGGGATATACATTTTAAACCTACACCTCTCACGAAAAGCCAGCAGCATCTCGTCAACAGTAACATTAGCACCTGGGACATACCTTGCTTGTGAGTTTTTATTGAACATTTCAAGAAATTCAGTAACAGCACAGCCTGGATCGATTATTTTTCGAGCTTCACTATCAGTGAAATTGTCAAATCTGAGAACTAGAAGTAGTATAAGGAAACGTTTTTTAGACATAGAAACCCGAAATATAGGTCTCCCTGTTCCGTCAGTTGTAAACAACGACAACACACTTTCATGATTGGACTTAAATGCTGCACTATATAGTAGCAGAGAGAAAAAACCTTTCAGTTCTGTTTGGCTCGTCTCCTTGAAAGCGTATTGCTCCTTTGGTGAAATGGTCTCACGAACTATTTCCAATTTTTTATTAGTCCACTCTAAAATCGTTTCTATCATTTGATTATCAAAAATAAGCTGAAATGCATCCAAAGGAGAAATCGTACCATTCTCTGTAACTAAATCATTTTGGTTTGAAGGTAAACGAAGAATATTGTGAGACTGTGTGCGGATGTTTCTTGACGGGGGTTCGCTTGACCATTTGAATCGGTTTTTTCCGTAATAATATTTAGCGCTCTCACCTGAGGTCAACACATCTTCATCATCTGAGTCAACTGAACACTCTGAGTCCGAGTCGTGATCAGAAGGTATACAGTCATCTTCAGAGTCGGATAATAGTTCTTCAGGTATCACAGCTCGAGATGGTTCAAGTGATTGAGATTCATCGTCGGTACAATCTTCGTCATTTAGCCAGTCGAGTAGAATAGATTCAGCATTTGGTTGATCTACGCTAACTACTTGTCTATTCGAAGCCATTTTCCAGTCTAAAACAAAAAAAAATAAAAAAAACAAAAATAATAATAAGTGATATTGAAAAAAAAGTTACACAAATGCCCTGGTGGAGTCCGGCGGACTCTACTAGCTTAAAAACTCACCGATGGATGAAGCGCAGACGCACGTCCTCTCTCCCCTGCGCGTCGCACGCTACTGTATGAAGGTACTGTGACGCACAAGCCTTTGAGTGCCAAAACAAAGAAATCACAACAGTTTGAAAATCGCGTGGAGTCCCTGGGATCACAGATCAATTAAGGGTTAAAACTTCTATTGTTATTCCACTCCACAAAAAAGACGACAAAAAAAATATGGGAAACTATAGACCGATAACATTGATATCTAGTTTTTCAAAATTATTTGAAATTATACAGTTATTTAGAAAAGTATAAAGAGTAAAACTATAAATACAGCTATTTATGACATAATTAAAACGATTTTAATCAATGTGGATAAAAGAAATCCGATATGTGCTGTCTTTATGGATATGAGCAAGGCTTTTGACCGTGTTGACCATAAGATACTTATTCAGAAACTTAGCTGGTATGGCATAAGAGGTAATGCGCTAGACCTCATTTCTTCTTATATGTTCAATAGAAAACAAATAACAGAAATTACACAAATATGCCAGAAAACACGAAATGAAATCAAATATAGATCTAACACTAGAACCATAAAATTCGGAGTCCCACAAGGTAGTGTCCTAGGTCCCTTACTATTTCTGGTATATATAAATGATCTCCCTAGACATATTGAACATCCAATGGTACTTTTTGCAGATGATAGCACAGTAATGATAGAATGTGATAGGCAAGACAATTACGAAAATGAAATCAATAAAACATTAAATACAATAATTCAATGGTTCCTAAAAACACATCTTAAAATAAATATGGACAAAACAAGAATAATGCACTTTTATCAAAGAACACAACCCATAACTATACATGTTAGTTACCAAGGCAATACAGTACATCCAGTGACAAATACAAAATTTCTAGGAATTAATATTGACTATGACCTATCATGGAAAACACATCTAGATAATGTCTGCAAAAAAGTTAATCAATCCTCGTTTGCTCTTTACAAATTCTCCAAGATTGTCGATAAAGAAGCCGTTTTATTAGCCTATCACGGACTTGTTGTACCTATCCTAAGATATGGTATAATATTTTGGGGCAACTCGGTAAATAACGAATTTGCATTCAAAGCTCAAAAGAAATGCATCAGAGCAATGTGCCATCTGGATAATACTACAAGCTGTCAACCATACTTTAAACACTTAAAAATTCTGACATTGCCTTCGATGTATATCTACGAAATAAATCTATTTGTGAAATCAAATCCAAATTTTTACAAGACTGCTTTTAAAAGCTACTAATAGACGCTATATAAAAAAGATTAGACATAGAAATACCATACGGAGATACAGCACTACTCAATAAAAGTATTCTTTGTATGGCATCATGTTCTTTGTATGAATCAGTATTCACAACAAACTGCCATATGATGTAAGAAAGTTGCCTATCTCACGACTTAAGACGATATTACACAAATTTCTGATTAATAAATGTTATTATAATGTCAAAGAGTACCTAGAGGACAAAAGTATTATAATTTAATAGCAATAGTTTTAATTTAATTGTAACTTAATAATAATAATTTGAATTTAATTATAACTGAATAATACTAATTTATACATTTACCTAATATAATATGTGACACATTGTAACAATTTAATAAGATTAGTATATTAAATTATAATTTAACTTAAATTTTGTATGACAACATTTTGGATTTGATTATTCGTATTATCAAAAATATTTAATTTCGAGTTTATATAACATCAAGGTATTTAGTATGACAACAATTAGCACTACAGACTCAACTATTGATAATATTTTTTATTTTTTTCTCTTATTCTTAATTTTATTTCAAAGCATCATTATTGAATTAGTAATGCGTAGACTATATCGTAAAATATTTGCACACCTCATAAGGTAATAATACAGTGTACATATTCTAATTTTTTTTGTAACAACTCTATAGGTATAACTATATTATGCAAATAAATGAATTTGATTTGATTTGATTGATGACTTTCCTGATGTAGTGATTGCGGAGGCGTCGAAGACTGCACGGAGTTTGGTAGTTGTACTAGATTTCTTTTGAATGCAATGATGTGGCAGAAAATAAGAGGGAGTACCTTTGTTTATTTTACTTAGATTTTCAGACATATGTCCTAGATTGACATATTCGTCCATGAATTGAACATGTGGATTTTTAAGTGAAGGATTTTTTCTTAGTCGTGACTCAAGAGACAGAAACCCTTGTTTGGCCATTTTATACGATTCACCTAATGTGGTAGGCGCTTCTTTGAGTGGAATACTCACCACGAACCTACCATCTGATTTACGATATGTAGGGTCTACAAAAAAATTTTCAAAGGCTTTTTCTTCCGCTGTATACTTATGCCTTGTCGAAACGGAATCAAGTTCCCAAAATCTAGTTAGATCTCTATGAAGATAACCTGAACCATCCGCAAACATACACACGGTTGGGCTGAACTGGTTTTGTGTGGTTATACCAGATATAAGCCAGCCTAGTTTTGACTCAATCAGAGAAGGCTTATTTTTGCCTAAGTAAATGCGATTCGCGCCTATGATATCCAAAAATACTTCTGCGCCAATAAGAATGTCAATCGTTGACGGAATATTGAAAGATGGATCGGCAAGGCGAACGCCTGAAGGTAATGAAATATTTGTAATAACTACGCGGTAGATTTGAAGCAATTTTGGGCAAAATAAAACAATTGATGTCGAATTTGTATTTTTCGTCGAACGATTGTAACGTAACTGAACATGATGTTGAACAATGACTTGACTGATTGTCAATGCCTAAAACCTTCGATTGCAATTTGACTGTGTGTAAAGAAAGCTTACGACAAAAATCTTCTGATATAATGTTGCCAGTGCTTCCGTTGTCTAGTAGGATTCGTGCTGTACAGATGCTGCCATTGGCATCCGACATCTTTACGAGCGCTGTGGAAAGCAGTACGATACGTAATTCAGTGTACTGATTTACAGTTAAAGCAATGTTTTGTGATGGCAATTGAATCTCTTCATCTACGTGTATGAGTGTGTTGTGTTTCTTGTGGCAATATTTACAATTACTTAACCTGCATTTTGAAGTGAAATGAGCGAAGGCAGTTATGAAATACATTGAACTCATGTACTTTTCTAATTCTTGACTCTACTTGAAGTTTACGTAAAGTTGCGCAAGTGTACAAAAGGTGTGAGTCCTGGCACATAGGACACTTATTGTCATATAGATATTGTTTACTATTTGTAACATAATTTTTTAATCTGAAGTGCGCTTGTATTATCCTTCTTATCCTGGGCGAGTTGAGATTCTTCAAGGGTTTCTAACAGGTTAGCCCTGTTGGATGAGAATGATGTGAATATCAATAAAGTAAGCGCATTAATTAAACTGTTTCGATGCTGTTCCCATTCGCGATTAATATAGGGCGTCCAATTTAATTGACATCATGTAAATTATCAACGTATCCCCATGCTCAACAGGTTGATCAAGGGTGGACAATGCACGAAGATTTTTATTTGTTACAACAATTATATATCTGAGGGCTTTACTAAGCTCGCGCTGTAATGGCTCTACATTAAAAAGCACTTGAACATGGTTGTTCAATAAAGACTTTTATTATCATACCTATCACAGAGCAATTTCCAGGCCGAGTCATAATTATCTGCTTTACAATCCAAACTATCTATAACAAGTAAGGCACTGTCTTTGAGTGACGCGCTCAAATAATGTAACTTGTTTATTTTGTCTATGTCGTTATTGCTATGAATTATGGAAACAAACGTATCCCTAAACTCTAGCCAGTTATGGTAACTTCCCGAAAATTTTGGTAATTCAATTTTGGTAATGGAACAGAAATGTGTTTGTGTGTATGACCACAAAAACTTACCTCTGACGCAACTTCGGTACTCGTGAGCTGTTTGCGTGCGTTGCTTACAAGTTGACGAGCAGCAGCTATTAGATTATAATACAGCTTGAATAAAACTATTATTTACGGATTTTATCGTGTTTAATTATTTTAATTTATTTTTATTATTATTCCGACGTTTCGGGTGCTTTACAGCACCCATGGTCACGGGAGGGACTGAGATGTTTGACGTACCATTGTGATAGTTAGTCCGGCTACCTTCTATGACATTGGGACGTCAAACATCTCAGTCCCCCCCGTGACCATGGGTGCTGTAAAGCACCCGAAACGTCGGGATAATAATAAAAATAAATTAAAATAATTAAAAATTAATAGTTTTATTCAATTGTAGTGTTCGCGTAAATTTAAGAAAATATAGCTTTTCAAAGTCTTCACGCTCCGTATATTGCTCGTCGGGGTTATCCGCCAACGCCTCCAGTTCATTTTGTACCGTATCGTATTTTTCGTATAGGTTTTCAAATGTATTTAGGCGATATTCAATTTCAATGATCTGCTGTTCACTTAACCTTTCACAAGACATTGACAGGTTTATATATGAAGAAAATTTTGTAAGCTTAGCTTTGATAGAAGCTCGCTTTTTTATTAATGTTTTCGATTCAGCCATTTTATGAAAATGAATAATGCAGTAAATTAAAGTATGAAGAAAAAGCAAGAAAAAGTAAATGCAATATATTATAGTGAGTAAGAAACAAGCAAATTTATTTTAAAATTGCAATAAATTTATTATTCTTAGGCGCAAAGCAGTGGAGTTTAATATAGCTGCGTAATTATTATATGTATTTAGTATGCGTATCTACAAGATAAAATTTATTTAACTATAAGTTCTACAACAAAGAGAATCACTAAGTGTACTTAATCATTGATTGGAAATGTAATGATTTGCTATGAAAAAAAATTATAATATATCATATTAATGGGGGTACATAAACTAAATTTTTAATACATAGCTTATTATTGA